CCATAGTCCTCCCTCCTCCATCCCGCCATAGTCCTCCCTCCTCCATCCCGCCATAGTCCTCCCTCCTCCCTCCCGCCAGAAGTCCTGCCTCCTCCCTCCCGCCATAGTCCTCCCTCCGCCCTCCTGCCATATGCACGAAAATTGAAAACAGGGCCGAATATCAGCAGCAGACCATGCAGCAAGGTGCCGAAGTCAGGAAAAAAAAAAAAAACACTGCATTTTTTGCATGCCCGGGGTACCCCGCGCATGGCCCCTACCCCGGCGTGGCGCCCGGGGCGCCCGGCCGGGCGCCCCAGGAAAGCTAGCTAAATATACTAAATAGTAATCCGTAAATGCTCTTGGGTAACTGCTAGCCTAAAGGCTAAATCCAAAACAAAACAGACGGTACCATGAGTTAGGCAGCCCATGTGGGCGAACACCCACAGAATGTTGATAAACCGAGATTAGAGATCATGAGTTCGAATCCGGACGGTATCAGATTCAAAGAAAAAGAAAGAAACGCACCATGAGGGAAAGGCGACATGACCCCCCATAGGCAAGCAAACGAGAAAACAATGCTAGGAGCCTTTCTAAAACAAAAAGAAAAAAGAAAAAAACTTAAAAAAAGCCCTTTCTCAAGTGGTGGGAACTTAGGGGAAAAATATAAAAAATAAAAAATAAAAATAAAAATAAAAACACCAGCAGATCGGCTCTCCACCGACAGAGCGAAGAAAAAGTTTTGGACCGTTTCTCGATTTATGCGCGTCATCCTGCGCAGGGACCATGCTAATATTCTCTGTATCGTTCCACAATTTTAACAGGTGTCCCGAAGGACTAAAGACTCAGACCCTTAAACCACCAGTACACGGCCTCAGCCTTGCAGCAAAATAACTTGTCGCCGCAAGAAGTAAAAGGCGGGCTCGGGGCAGGGTCGGAGCGTCAGAAGGTTTTCAAAATTTTGGGCCCATCTCAAATCCGTACGTCCCAAAAAACAAAACAAGCTTTGGCCGTGATTGCAGTTGGATACACTTTTTGGAGTACTCGTGCGAGTTTGCCCTCAGTGACGGCAATTCAGCAGAACGTAGAACACAGGGAGCAGGGCTGTCGGACTCTCAAAAAAAGAACAAAAAACAAAAAAGCCTTTGGCCGTGATTGCAGTTGGATACACTTTTTGGAGTACTCGTGCGAGTTTGCCCTCAGTGAGGGCACTTCAGCAGAACGTAGAACACGGGGAGCAGGACTGTCGGACTCTCAAAAAAATAACAAAAAAAAAAATCCAACGACGCTTTGGCCGTGAAAGTGGTTGGATGCATTTCAACGTCGCTAGTGTGAGTATGCCCTCAGCGAGGGCATTCTGAGCAAGAGGAATAGGCGCTGCCTTGCTGGCAGGGCCAGGATGAAAAAAACAAAACGAAAAAAAAAGGAACGTTTCCCTCTCCCAGTAATAGTGGTCAGATGCATTCAGGAAAGTGATCGTTCGCGTATGGCCTCCATGACGTCCTTTCGCAACATCATTGCTCTCTGGCATGTTTGTTCCTTTCTTTTCTTTTCTTTTCTTTTTCTTTTTCGGTTCAGGCAGACCGGGGGCACCAGTGCCACTTCCGCAATTCCCACTGCAGGTACCCTCACACAGAAGGCTCAGAAAATAGTAGCGCGCAGTGGGCAGGTAGGTTCAGGATTTTAGGTGCGGGATGTACTGGTGGTTTAACACTAAAGGTTAACAGGTGGCGTCATTTTGGGCAAAATTTTCACCGAAACTGCCTTATTTCCCTGAATTTTTCCTTGTTTCCTTTTTTTTTTTTTTTTTTTTGGTGATATCACTGATATGCATGTGCGTTAGGGTATATCTGTATTCAGTTTCGCCGTATTTGGACCCGGCCTTCGCCTGCCTCAGATTGCCTCCTCGAACGCCTGAGATGTCTTTTTTATCAGAGCGGCCAGAATTTGGCCGCAGCCTGTTCTGTAACCTCGTCCCAGCACGTCCAGAAGCTTCTGGAGACTATGCTGCACGGTTGGACTGTGTGAGATTGCAGGCGGAGTCGACTTCTGAAGACTATGCTGCACGGTTGGACTGTGCGAGATCGCAGGCGGAGCCGACTTCTGGAAAATTCTTCGACTCCTGATGTACTACGCGTGGGTTGGGTCAGACTGTTGACTTTTTCCTTTTTTTTCCGCAGGCCTGGGGCGACTTTTCCATGCTCTGGGGGTACCTGTGAACCCCCTTCCCCAGTTTTCATTTGACCTGAGGGGATGCCGTAGACAAATCCTGGCCCTACCGTCTTCACCCGAATAGAACGCCCGGTCATTATAGCTGCATTTGGCACAACTTTCAGTCCAGATGCAGCGATAATGACCGGCGTTTTATTCGGGTGAAGACGGTAGCCAGGGACTTTGGACCCCAGAACTCAGACTCAGAGTCAGACTGAAAGACTCAACCCTACCGGCTTCCCCCCAACACAACCCACACTCGTCACGAATGAATACAAGCTAACTTCCTGGTCTCATACAGTGATGATGATGAGGGCGTGTTGTGTTCAGGGGGAAGAAGGTAGGACTTATCCCAGAGAGCCCTTGACTCGTGTTTCTTTCTTTTGCACTGTTGCAATTGTTGGTTTTTTTTTTTTGGGGGGGGGGGGGGGGGGGGGGGGGGGGGGGGGGGGAAACCGGCCCCCTGGGAGAGGGGGAGGGTTATCAGGGGGGGTTGGGGGAGAAAACAGGATTGATTGATTTAAAAAGGGAAAGGAAACTCAGTCGAAGCGGGACCCTTGGCCATAAGGACCTGGTGTCTTATTTAGCAAAACAAACAACAACAAAAAAAAGGAAGGCGGGACCCTGCCTGTACCGCTTACCCGGAGCATGACATCATCGAGGAAAATAGCGAATCTGAGATGGGGCTGCGCTGAAACCTCCTCGAGAAGCATTGAGATTGTCTTCAGGTCTCCTTTCTGAACAAGGACTGTTCTAAGACCCTGTTCTCTCATCACACCCTCTAGTAAGCCCCTCATAAGCCATGTCTTTCCTGTGCCTGTCTCTTATACACATCTAGATGTGTATAAGAGACAGCCCTGCTGCAAGGGAGGGTGATAAGAGGGGGTTGGGGGAGAAAACAGGATTGATTGATTTAAAAAGGGAAAGGAAACTCAGTCGAAGCGGGACCCTTGGCCATAAGGACCTGGTGTCTTATTTAGCAAAACAAACAACAACAAAAAAAAGGAAGGCGGGACCCTGCCTGTACCGCTTACCCGGAGCATGACATCATCGAGGAAAATAGCGAATCTGAGATGGGGCTGCGCTGAAACCTCCTCGAGAAGCATTGAGATTGTCTTCAGGTCTCCTTTCTGAACAAGGACTGTTCTAAGACCCTGTTCTCTCATCACACCCTCTAGTAAGCCCCTCATAAGCCATGTCTTTCCTGTGCCGCTTGCACCATACTGCGGTATCAAGAAACAAACAACACACGCCAGTCAAACATCGAAAAATCAAATCACAAAACAATGCGACGACGAGGGGAGGGAAGGGGCCAGCATGCATGCAGCCTATTCCTTGCTTGCATGGCATTCGAGTCATGATTCGATTCGACCTATAGGGTTCCCAATAGACGATTATGACCGCCTATAGACGTACTCAAATGCGAAGTTGCAAAAATAACCCCCTATGTACTTACTCGAAGTTACTTCCGAATAGGTCATGTAGACATGATCAAATGCGAAGTTGCAAAACTATCCTCGTATGCTGCTATGGGATCTCTAATACGACCGACTTTTCAGGCGAGGAATGGAACCGCCGTGCACTATAGGTGCACCTAGACAAAAAATCGCACCAAATGCAGCTAGAATGAGCGACCGTTCTATTCAGTTGCAGACGGTGGGTGGTTTTCCTTAGAGGCTCTGCAGATGACGAGGGAAATCATACCCCCAGAAAAGTTGGGAGAGTCCGAGAAACTGATTGGTGCAAGGGAGGAAGGTGCAAAAAATGGGGCTGTTTTATTTAGCTTGTTTTACAAATAAGTTGAAATAACAGATACAAATTTAAATAAAGAAGAAGAAGATAAAGAAGAAGAAGAAGAAGAAGAAAGGGGGGGGG